TGTTGTTGACCGCTATAGTTACGTTGTTGTTGCTGACCATCGTTATTGCGTTGTTGTTGGCCATTGTAATTACGTTGTTGCTGGTCGTTTAAATTACGTTGCTGTTGCTGTTGTTGATAGTTGTTATTGCGCTGTTGTTGCTGACCATCATTATTGCGCTGTTGTTGCTGGCCATTGTTATTGCGCTGTTGTTGATAGTTATTATTATGTGGTTGCTGACCATCTTGAACACGTTGTTGACCACTATTACGTTGACGTTGCCCATCATTATTTCGCTGTTGTTGCCCATCGTAGTTACGTTGTTGTTGACCGCCTGAGCTGCGCTGTTGATTGTTATCATAACTACGACGTGAAAGGCCATCGTTACATTGCTGCGGACCACGTTGTTGCTTTCCTTGTTGCTGATTACCGTTACGATCTTCTAAACTACCACTGCTACGATCAGCGTATTGTGGTTCATAAGCATCATAATTTTGTGAGCCTTTATTACCAGAATTGCCGTTCTGTTGATTTCTCTTCAAGGCACTTTCTGAATTATGCTGCTGTTGACCACCTAGATTTAAACATTTTTGGACATCGTTAGCTTGCCGGTATGGCTCATTATTATCAAATTGTTCACCATCACGTTTGAATTGATGTTGGTTACCATGACTTAATCGTTTTTTGGCATCATTACCTTGCTGTATATCATGGTTAAATTGTTGTTTCCCTATCCTGACATATTGACCTTCAGTGTTATGTAGTTGCGGACTTTCCTGTCCGCGTTGTAGAGAACTACTACCGTCAAACAAACTGACATTACTAGCTTGTTGAATGCCAATACTGGCGCGTCCACTTTTGCCGACATTTTGATTTTGTTCCAATTTCTGACTAGTTTGTTCAAACTTAAAAGAATTATTAGCAGTGCCTTCATCTTCTGGACAATTATTTTCAAAACATCCCCGTACTTCTTGCAATGGATGCCCTACCGCCATTATTTCTTTATCAAATGCCTCTCTCAATATCAGCTTACTACACATTTTAAGAATTATATGTATTATCTTTTATTTTATAATTTTATTGTACTTACGGCATTTTCCTGCATATATAACGATGAGAACGCCAATCTAATTTTTGACAAGCGGCTGAACAATAAAAATCCCCACAAGTCTGGCAAACATGAGACGCAAATTTCGTGCACCTCACGCAAGTCGCCACATCTGAACCGTCTTCGCTATTGTCACTAAACATATTGACGATTAATTTGCTTTATGATTCCAAATTTGCAAATAATTCCAAAATCCTACTAAATTTCCACACTTCCGTTAAGTTCAGCGACGCAACAAAAATGGAAGTTTTTCAAAATGTGCATAAAAAACAATTACAAATGCACTATTTGCAAATTTGACATAATAACAACAGAATTTAAACAGGGTTGTTATATAGAGACATACAATATTATAAAAGATATAAAAAAGCATATCATACATATTATTTTGAAAAATTAATAGCAAATTTAGTTAATTTTAATATTACACAAAATAATACATATAGAGATGCGTTAGATTTAAAATTAAATACAAAAACAGTGTTTTACTTTCATATATTTTTTCTTCAGAGAAAAAGTATTATTAGCCTTTCTGGTATGTGAAAATAAATTAATATCTAATATTTGCTAAACGATATATAGGCATCACTGTTGCAATCTGTAAAATGTTGTTTTCGCAAACAGCAAATCTTGCATATGTGCACATAATGCAAGCAAATTATACTATGTATAAAAATATATAATAAATCTAACATTAAAATGAATAATGCACTAAAAGCAATTTGCAAAATGTAGAAAATTTTGAAATTTCCATTTACAACAAAATTAAAAATAGTTTTTATTCTATACTCATGCCTTAAGATATATAAATTTGTTAACAACTAAAAAATTCACAATAGTAGGCTTATTGCGTTGGTAACACTTTTTTCTGTAGTAGCGAAAATGTTTGGCTTCTTCACAACTAGGTGCTTAGACAGAGCAAGTAGTGTTGTTGTTTTGCGTACATTTAAACAACTTTAGGCAAGAAACTTTAATTCCTTTGTTCTTGCAACTTGCACACATAAAAACTGCCGAAGGAACCTAATAACAAATGTTGCACATATATACTACTAGAATTGAATGCTTTTGGTTTCTCCTTTTTAAAGCATAAAAACGTAATAACTGCAATAAAAAAAAAATTAAATTAAAATAATTGTACTAATGTATTTAAGTATGAGCATGTACTTATTTGATTGAAATTAAAATATATTGACAAGCAAGGACAAACATTATGATCATGCGGTTTTGTTTTAATTTTTACCATTGATGTCAGAGCAAATAAACAAACAGTCAGCTAATTTAGAAAGTTCACTTATAACATTGCGACAAAAGAATTGGAATATATGTTATATTTTGATAATGTTTACTTTTATTTGGATGTATACTTAAATGATTACTTTTATTCAAATACAATATAAAATGCTCACCAATAATCTTTTTGTGTCATTCATTTTAAGTATATTTAGATGAAAAAAAACTTATTCATAAAATTATCTGCAGGTATTTTTGTATTTAAATGTATTTATCAACCATATATTTGTTTAAATATTTTTTGCTTGCCATTTGTTTACTGATTTAGACAGTCTTGCAAAATTCGCAGACCATTCGCGTTACAGGAATACCCCTATTGTGAATAATATTATGTATTGTGAATATATTATATTTTGAACAACCCTGTTCTATATATCAAGCAGCAGTGAAGAAAAACATTTAATACATTCACATGCACATGTTGATTGTTTGCTCGAGATTTAAATTGTAAAAAAAAACAAATTCAATCAAAATATTCGATTACAATGTCTTCGTGGAAGAAAGCGTCGAAAAGTAATCAAAAAGTACATCGTGAGCGTCATCAACCAGAATCTCGGAAGCATTTGGGATTGTTAGAAAAGAAAAAAGATTACAAAGCTCGTGCGAGAGATGCAGAATATAAGGAAAAAGCATTAAAATTATTGCACAAGCGTGCTTTGAATAAAAATCCGGATGAGTTTTATCACCACATGATAAATTCAAAATTACGCAGCGGTGAGCATCATGAGAAAAAGCAAAAGGAGGAGCATACCAAGGAACAGCTTCAACTCATGGAAACACAAGACATTAAATATATAACAATGAAGCGTACAATGGAAGCCAAAAAAATACGTCGTTTGCAATCACAACTTCATTTTATAGATTTTGCAAACACGGTGCCTAATAAACACACATTCTTTGTTGATGGTAAAGAAACTGTTTTAGAAGGTAATGAATTAGCTGAACGTCTTGAGACTCATCCCAGTTTGTTAGAACGTAAAACAAACAGGCCACGTTTGAAGGATTTGGAAACCTTGACAATTCCAGAAATTAATGTAGAGGTGAATATTGTTAATCATTTTAATTAGCACAGAATATTCATTGTTTTTTATTATATTTAGAAAATACAAGCTGGCAATAAATTACGTAAACAGTCCTACCAAGAACTAGCAAAACGGATAGAACGTGAGAAGGAATTAAGTATTGTGCAGCAAAAGTTACAAATACAGCGTGCACTTGAAATGCCACGTCTACTTAAGCCTAAAACAATAAAACCTGGCACAAAAACTTCACCTCCAGTTATTAAATTTAAATATGAAAGAAAAAGATAATTTTTCCGCGTGTATATACGTATTATTATCTTTTCATTTATAAAGTTTAAAAAAAATGTTAACATAAAATATATTAAAAATTAAAACAACATAGATTTGGAATATTTTAATGTGTTCTACTTAGTGTGGTTTTTTTATTTATCCAAGTGTATAGGAGCCCTCTGTAATTTTTTTCGCCCATCAACTTTTATGCTACTGAGTACTCTGTTAATATAAATGTCATTTAAATTTAACAAGTATTACTTATTATGTCATTAATTAATTGTATTGTTTATGTCATTACTTGCTTATACGGGTTCTGATCTGATATCGCTAAGGATCTATGAGGTCAGACAGCTCTCCCTGTCTGATCATCAAACACGATTATTGTGAACGTGAAGTTAATAATGTTAATTTTGTTTATATCTCTTGGAGGAGATTTGAACTTTAATGGATTTGACAAAAGTTAAAATAGTTTTCACCTTGGAAATCTTGTAGGCAAGTATTTACTTCAAAAGAAAATTGCCAATTCAAATTATAGAAATAATATACCAAATTTTTTTTTTGATGTATTCAAAACATCACAACAATGTTTTTATCTGTTTATGGATTCAGTGACTATCCCATTTGATTTAATTTGAGAGACTGAATCCCTCGAAGTCTGTGAATTTTATTTTTGTAAAGGAAAAGCTTGTAATGCTCTTTTGCATATACAATAATGTATAAGCATTAACACCTAAAACTAAATTCGGTTCTATAAGCATGATAGAATATTAAGTATTAATAAAGAGGTTTTCGAAAAGTAGTGAACTACAACAATAATTCTTTTTATATTATTTTAATTAATTAAGTTTTTGGCTGACCATACAGTTGTTTAGTGTTTTGCCAAATACCCATCATCAGTGGTCTTGGAAATAATTCTTGTATTTAATTATTCGTAAATAATATTTTGAGACTGCAAATACCAGGAATCGAACTTGTACCCTTCCAAATTTGAGTCAGCGTACCTTAACCAAATGACATAAAGCCGTACTCGACTTTTATATTCGCACATTTTTTTTTGGAGTTTTGTTAATTTTCTGTGCAAGTGTTTTTCACTGACTGTGTTTATATTAGAACGAAATCATAAACCAGCTGTAGAATAATTGAATTAACTAATTATATTTTTATTTTTATAAATATTGAGTATTAATTTGATATAAAAGAGTATCTTCTCTGATTGATATATGCAACGGTCTTTCATTGCAGAATCATTTGCGTAGATCGTAAACTGGTTTTTTAAATACATCTGGCAGCGCTCTACGTATTGCTTATGATTTCAAAACAAACGTAAGCATTTTATACGTCAAAACAATCTGTAACAACTGAAGCGGCTGCACGTGCTAGTTTATTTGATTGCTAAATATTTTTTAATTTTAATAAAAATGGTTAAGAAAAAAATTGATAATCGAATACGAGTAATGATTGAGAATGGGGTGAAATTAGGACATCGTACTATGTTTGTTATTATAGGCAACAAAGCTAGAGATCAGGTAAATAACTTAAAAGCACTTCGCACTTTTTTACTTGCAAACTAATAATTTATTTTATTATAAAACATATTTAAATGAATTTTATTCGCAGGTACCTATTTTGTATGATATTTTAACGAAGTCAACAGTTAAGGCCCGACCTCCTGTACTTTGGTGTTATAAAAACAAAGATGAAGCCATTTCAAAGTAATTACCATTCTAACTTGAATAACTTTGTTATAAGTTTTATATAAATACTGACTTACATTCTGTTATATTTAGTCACGGAAAGAAACGGCTCAAAAAGATTGCTGCTGGTAAAATAGACATTAATGATGCTGATTTGTTTGACGTGTTTCGTGTAGCTACAGAAATACATGGTCGTTATTACTCAGATACACATTCAGTTCTTGGGCGAACATATGGTGTTTGTATACTCCAAGTAAGTACTTGAAGAAAATATTTATACTCAACAATCATCGCATTTACGATTTTATTTCACAAAGGACTTTGAAGCTTTAACACCAAATTTACTTGCTCGTACTGTGGAGACTGTTGAAGGCGGTGGTCTCATCATACTGCTACTTCAAACAATGCAATCATTAAAACAATTATATACCATGAGCATGGACGTGCATAAACGTTTTCGCACCGACGCTCATCAGACTATAACTTGTCGATTTAATGAACGATTAATACTTTCATTGGCAGATTGTAAACGTTGTTTAGTCGTGAATGATGATCTCTCTGTTTTGCCAATCAGTTCTAGAACCATAAATGTTGAACCCGTTAATGTAAGTATAAACACTTTAATGCAAGAAAATGCACATATTTATTTTTTTTTAAACAGCCTGTGACTATTGGAAAATCAGAACAAAATGAGCTTTTAAAAGATCTTAAGGATAGTTTACGTGATACCCCACCTGCAGGACCACTAGTAAATTTGTGTAAAACTTACGATCAAGCCAAAGCAGTCGCACAATTTATCGAAGCTCTTGCTGAGAAACAAATAAAGTAAGTTCAAATAATTGACAGCCCAACAAAAACAATATATTTATATATTTCTTTTAGACCACCGACGACATTAACTGCTGCACGCGGTCGTGGTAAATCAGCGGCTCTGGGTTTGGCCATTGCTGCCGCTGTGGCTTTTGGCTATGTTAATATTTATGTAACTTCACCGCATCCAGAAAATTTAATTACATTATTTGAGTTTGTATTTAATGGATTTGATGCGCTTGAATACCAGGAACATGCTGACTACACGATCATACGGTCAACTAATCCTGAATATAAAAAGGCAATCATACGCATAAATATCACCCGTTCCAATCGCCAAACAATACAATATATAGCACCAAATGATACGCATTTATTAAATGCAGCAGATTTACTTCTAATTGATGAAGCAGCTGCTATACCATTACCACTTGTAAAAAAAATGATTGGACCTTATTTGATATTTATGGCTTCCACAATCAATGGTTATGAAGGTACTGGACGTTCCCTGAGTCTAAAGTTGATATCCCAATTACAAAAGGATAATAATGCACCTCCACCGGTAAACTACTTTGTTATAATGTAATTCAAAAAAAAAAAAATGCTAAATGTTTTTGTATAGATCAAACTAGATGAATCCATACGTTATAGTGAAGGAGATGACATAGAAAGTTGGTTAATTAACTTACTTTGCCTTGATGCTACATCAGTACCATTTCTAAATTCGGGTTGTCCTACACCAGATGTATGTGAACTATATTACATCGATCGTGATTCATTGTTTTCTTACCATAAAGCAGCTGAATCATTTCTACATCGTTTGGTCTCTATTTTTGTGTCATCACATTACAAAAACAGTCCAAATGATTTACAAATGATGAGCGATGCACCAGCACATCATTTGTTCTGTCTACTTGGTCCTATAACGCGGACAGATTATCTGCCTGAAGTACTAGTAGTTATTCAGGTAGCCTTGGAAGGTGAAATTTCGTCGCAAACAGTAAATAATAATTTGGGAAGAGGTAAAAAAGCTAATGGCGATTTAATACCTTGGAATATATCAGAACAGTACGGCGATAGAGAATTTCCAAAGTTAGCTGGTGCTCGAATAGTACGCATTGCAACGCATCCACATTATCAAAGGGTCAGTATTAACATTATTTTAAAATCTAAATACATAATAATATATGTTCAGCAATATTAAATACATCTATTCAGTGATATTAGGTATATCTTTTGAGAAATCCTTCTTAACTTACGATAATTTTTTTAAAGACCATCCGCAATATTTAAAATTCTTTAACTATTTTATACAAAATTTGAATTGCTTTAATGATTTCTTCACTTTCTTCACATTTAATCCGAAGAGGATTATGTACACTCAAACACTAGTATGTCTACTATTTTCACTAATGTTTAACATTATTTAATAGATGGGTTACGGAAAACGCGCAATAAAATTGCTAAAGGATTATTATTGTGGCAATATAACAAATCTTGACGAAAATACTACAACTACTGAAAATGGTAGGTTGAGCAAAACATAGTTTGATAATTAAAGTTAACACCAAAAAATTTTAGGTATTGAAGAAGTTGAAGACGAAGATCTTGGTTTACTTAAGGAGCAAATTCGACCACGTCGTAAAACACCATCACTCCTCAAACGTTTAAATGAAAGACCTCCAGAATATTTAGATTACATTGGTACTTCCTATGGGCTGACGTTGGAATTGCTAAAGTTCTGGAAGAACTTAGGCTTTGTACCTACATATCTAAGGTATGTTTGTGTACTAAATAATAATCTAAATTTATATTACTTTATACTTTATCCCTTTACAGTCAGAAAGCCAATGATCTTACTGGAGAACACTCCTGCATAATGTTACATATACTTAAGAAATCAGAACCCAATGCTAAACTGAGCACCGATTGGCTAAGTTTGTATTTTAATGATTTTAGACGACGTATTATGAAACTACTTGGAAAGAACTTTAGAGAGTTTCCAGTAAACTTAGCGTTGTCAATTCTTGATAACAAATGGGTTCAAATTAAACAGAAAGGTAATGTAGACAAATTTAAATAATAATACATGTCTCTTCATTTTTTTTTTTTTTAAAGAATTGGACAGAACCACAATTGATACATACTTTTTACCACACGATCTTCAGCGTTTAGAATCCTATGCGAGAAATCAAATTGAATATCGTTTAATTTTGGATTTAGTCACTGATATCAGTTATTTGTACTTCCAAGGCAAATTCGAAGGCCTCCATATTGACACATTGCAGAAGGTTAGATTTAGTTATAAGTATAATATTTATATGTGTAATGTGTAATATTAATACAAGTGTTAAACATTATTACATTTTATATTTATTAACTTCAGGCAATATTATTGGCAATTGGTATTCAAGGCAAAATCGTTGACGTTATTGCAACTGAATTGGGTATGCCAGGAAACCAAATTTTGGCCAAGTTTTATGATTTAATGAAGAAGACGTCCAAGTACTTGCAAAAGGTAATTGAGAGCCATATCGAGGGTACCATGATAAAAGAAACTAACTTGAATCGTGGTGAGGATTTGCAACCCATTACTTTGTCCCTTAACGATGAGCTCGAAGAAACAGCGAAGCAACTATCAAAAGATCAAAAGAAAGAACTGAAAAAACTTAAAATGGAAAGTCTTCAGGATTTTGCAATTAAAGGCACGGACGAAGACTGGTCTAATGCTTTACAGGGCACAAATAGTAAATCAAAATTAATATCAGTAAAAAGGTAAATATATAATCCTCACACGATCACGTATAAATTACAAACTTGTTTTTCTTTGCAGTGGGGTGAAACGTTTGGATGTACCAACTTCGCTGGACGAAGAATCTGAGTTTAAACACAAATCTAAAAAAAAGAAATTTAACAAAAAAACAAAAGGACTTAACAAATCTGTAATTTAACAAAACATTCAAAAATATTTACGAACTATTGTAATATATTTTAATAAATTATAGAATAAGTAATATTCTTTTAATGTTGGATGAACACTACGTTTTAATAAATATGTTTCAATTTTTCAAAGAAAACACTAGCATATTTCTTTTTAAATTCTATATTAAATCTTTTCGTTCGTATTTATTTGAATATGTTGCACTCAATTAGTTCAACCGTTCGAATAGGATTTTTTTATACAAATTACCAAGCACAACAAAAGTTGACCATTATTAGATATTAACACATTTAGGCTGCTGCTTGCGCATTTATGCGTTTCTGGCGTTCCAATAGCCTCCTTTCTCGTTCATATTCTTTCAACCGCAAAACATAATCTTCATATTCGCACGTTAGATATTCATGTTTCTCATGCGCACATTTATAAACAAAAGGAAATGTATCCGCTCGGCAGGATCGGTATTCAAGTAATTTGTGAGCACAATAGTCACGGTCTTCTGGTGCTAACTTCGCTGATCTCATTTGTTCTTCAGTTGCAATCATAACACGCTCCTTTCGGTTAGCAAGACCCAATAGTGGATCGAAAGTGATTTCGCAGTCTGGACCTGGCGTAACATCAGGATTCCTGTAACGAGCTATTGCGTTTCCCATGTCTCAAACGTAATTTAGTTTAAAATTAATTACTTTTTTGATATAAATTACGTAAAGAATAGGAATTGAGCAAACTCAAATGTCAAAACTGGCATTTACCATCTGTGTTATGCTTTGTATAAGTTTGTTCATTTCTATTTGCCAAGAGATGGCTCTGCTACCAATTTCATCAACCATATTTATACAAAACACATTTCCAAATATTTTATTTGATTTTAAAATAAAAATGGTTTTAACTATAGATTAATGTTGTATTTAAACTATTATACTTAGATTAACAAAAATGTAGCAATATTTGTTTGGTTTTCACATAAAATCCTTATAAAATTTGTAAACAAATATGCCGAAGTGATTAAACCTTTTTAGGTGTACGTGTTCATATATATTAATTAATTAATTCACAAGTCATTCTAATTTAAGTTTTTTTTAAAATTATGCTAGTTCGATTCGCTAAAAATCTGTTTACGCAGAAAATTTTAATATTTTTACGCTTTATTTAATTTATATTTTATTTTTTATTTTTGTAGTTGCACTTCAAATGAAAATGTCAAAATTTGTTTTGTTTTGCTTTAATGTATCAGAATTATTTACATTTCGTTACAAAACTATACTATCGTAAATTATAAATTTAAATTCAACTTAATTTTGTGCAAATTAAAATTTAATCATATGGAATCATATAATCATTTTAACTTGATTTTGTTATAAACTGAGTTAAGCAAGCACAAACAAAATCCAAATTACGAATTTTTGTGAATAAGCAGTTGTATGAGTCCTTAAAACGATGTATTCAAAGAAATTTTACATAAATTATAATAAGAAAGATCGCTTTTTAGCATTGCGTACATATCTTAAAATAAGTTTTATAAGTAAACACTCTAAAAATTTATTTTAAGAATCGCGCAAACTTCTGAAGCGCCATTCACTCTATAGATTTTAGTTTAAAAACAGTTTTTAGTAGTTATTTGACATATAACATGGTAACTAATAATATATAAAAAAAAATTAAAATGAATATGAATAAAATGTATGTATATATATAACTTATAATTAATATAATAAGTATAATGAGTACAATTAATATAATTTTTAACAGAATCGTTTCGCTTTAACTAGTCTATGACATTTATAGTTACAAATATATTTTCTTTGTGTAAGTTGTAACTGAATTGAATAATTTCAACGTAACATTTCTAATCGTAATCGCTTTTATCTATCTAACTGAATGAGTAGCCATATTACGTTACATTTGTTCTCAATGACTTGTCGAATTATATGCGATAAAGAATACGTGTAAAAGGACTGTTCTATGTAGGTATATGTTTTACAATATTTTTTACAGTGCTTTAATGTAAAAAATTTATTTCTTCTTGGCAATACTTATCGTACGTTGGATATACAAGCGCGTCCCCAATTTATATTCAATTTGTTTTGTATTTAGTTTTTCAGAAAGTACAAAAATGAATACTCCTGTTCGTGGCATACACAAAAATTTGCAAGAAATTAAAATCCCGGCTTCGCCATTTATGAAAAATTTAGGTTATGGAACTGGCGTATCAGTTTTCCGTTTGGAAAGATCGCCAAAAGGAAACCAGGCACAGTCACCATGGGCTATAAAACGCGTATCACATAAAAGTCGCGCACAAGGGGGAATAGTCTTTGATGAACGTTTAAAGGAAGAAGCGGAAATATTGCGGTGTGTACACTTTTATAGTTTTCTTTTATAAATTTAATATATTTTATATTTATATGTAAAGGCAACTTTCACATCCAAATATTGTGGGTTTTCGTGGTGTTACAAAAGCAAACGATGGCGTAAACTCTCTAGCATTGGAATGTTGCAGTACCTCTTTGGGTAACATCTTAGAAGAAAGGTTTGAAGAGAATGCAGGGTCTTTGCCGGTCAAAGATGCACTGAAAATGATAACTGATATAGCGAATGCACTTAACTATTTGCACACAGAAGCACGGCTTTTACATGGAGATATTAAATCTTATAATATTCTGGTCAAAGGTGACTTTGAAATATGCAAACTTTGTGATTTTGGTGTAACTATACCACTAGATGAAAATGGTGTTGTTAACTTTGCCAAAAATCCCAAGCATCAATATGTTGGTATAAAAAAAAACAAATAATTGTCATAAATTCTTTTAAAACAAATATTTATAGGTACTGATATTTGGTCTGCACCTGAAGTATTAAACGATGAGGATATTATTGACTGTAAAGCTGACATTTTTAGTTTTGGACTAGTTATATATGAGACAATTGCATTGGTGCCACCACATTGTGCTGGTATTGATGGTGATGAAAATATTGAACCGAATACTTCACAAGATTTATCTAATGAATCTGCAAATGCCTCGACGGCTATTGTAAATATGTATGGCACAAGACCTCCACTACCTCAAGCTTTCGAGTTGAGTGGCGAATATAATTTTATTGTAGAATTGTTTTATTTTTGCACAAATGAATTAGCAGAAGATAGACCAGATGCAAAAACAATTGTGGAAATAATGAAAAACATTAAACCAAATAAGGACGTAAAAGTAAATTAATACAAATTTAAAGTAAAATAATGTTCAAATTCAATATGCATAAAGAATATAATTAATATGTATAACAATTTAAGTTTATTCACTTTTATAAAGCTTATGCACATTTTTTAAGAAACGAAAAATTGAAAAATAAATTATTTCAAACCCACTTATAAACGAACAGCCCATGCAAATTCCTATAACGCCTCCAATGTTTGCTAAAATCGATGAAAATATATATATAATTACTTAATTCAAAAATATATATAACAATACAACTTCAAATTCTGACTTACATAGGATTTGGTACCAATTGAAGGCAACTTTTTTTCGAAATAGTTGCGCAAAAGGTTTGGAAAAATAAAGTTTTATAAGACTTATATTTGTGGTATTTAAATACTGGTTGCTGAAAGAGTAAATTAAAATTTTATTTTTAAGATTTCGAGTGTATAAATAATATACTGTGTCATACAGTATTTCACGTCTGTAAGTGTGTAGTGATTTATTGAGCTTAGATTTCTTGTGGCGTTGGTAATAGAAATCATAACTACATAATGGAAGGCAATTCGGACAATTTAATGCGTCTTGCAATGATTGTTGAAGACTATTAGACAAAGTATAATAGTCAGTTGAGCGATGTGTTTGCCAAGTAACTAAGAAAAAAATATTTATAGTATTGATTTATTAAAATTTGACGTCCGCTTACTTCGATGGCGTTCCAAGCACTCTAAATTCGCTAAAGTGCAATAAGTCACGTTAGAGTTAAACTTCATATACTCGTTAGGTGCATAATAGGGCACACAACCACAAAGCATCAACATACTATTAAATTTACATTTAGACAAGCAGTCTGCTTGTGTGTAATTTAACTCGTAGCTTTCATCATGCTCATCTTCGAACAGGCAATGACGTTTTTCTACTGCATAGCTACGCACATCATCTGTGGCTATTTGTTTAGTGACAAATAATTGTACGTCTATGTTTTCGTCAGTACCAAGGAATAACTCTTTAACACCTCCTACTGATGGATCGGGGAAACTTCTTGGATTAAAAATTTGTAAAATGAATCCACTAGTACTGCGATCAGTGAGATAATAGTCAATGGTTGATGTGTTAAGCACGACAGTTAGACCGTTAATGACGCCAATTCCTTCACGTTCTATTAAGTACCTTCAAATATTAAAATTGAATTAGAGATATATGAGTTGTAACATAGTTTTATAATCTGACATATGTCTTACATATTTTCTTTACTTTTATTATGATTAAATACGCAGCAAAAACCTTCAGCAGTTTCTTCCAAAAAGAATAATTCATTGCAATCTGTTAAAATATCGTTCCAGTAACATATTTTCAATAAATCATAACAAGAAGGAGCTAACTATTTAAAATTGGCAATTAATGAAAGTAATTAACTAACGAATTTACATAATTTTCTATTTACACTTTTTAATATGGTTGGTGTATTGAATGGACTACTTTGCTCGAGTTCATTTTGAAACTCTGCAGCTTCGTCAAAGTCCACAGAACTAGTGTCAAAATATCCGGAAAATAGTTTCATTTTCAACATGCCATCATTTATTTTTACATTATTTCCATTGAATCTGTTATAAATATTGTTAATATTATATTATATTATTAATCTGAAGTTTTAGTTAGCTAGTGAAAATAAATGTAGAAGGAACTAAAAGGATAAATTATTATATATAAAAGGATATTATATTATCAAAAATAAAATACTTATACAACATGTTCTAAAAGATCTATTTTGCTGATGCGTTGGACTAATAAATGAATATGCAGTGTAGGATAAAATCCACAATTATGAATTATTATTTCGTATGTGTAGAGTTTTTAATACTTCTAACAAAAAGAAGAGATAGTTTTGGTAATATCTGTATAATTTAGGTACAAGCTATCTAAGCTAAATAAATTCCAGTCACCAAGAGTTCTGGGCTAACATAAGAAGTCTATAACTTTCATGAAAACCATAACCGACTTTTCTCAGTAAATTAACTACACCAGCTTTCCATATGAATTGGGTTGTGTTTTAAATGTTTAAGAAGGAAAAGAATTTTTAGTTGCAAGTATTTACTAAGACTTGACTCCATCTCCAATGGCTTTTCAAACACTGGAACTATTCAATTAATTTTGCAAATATTCCTAATGCAGTAAATAATCGATGACAGAATGATTAACGTTCCGTTTAATTAGTAATATTTTAGTATATACTCACAAAAAAAAATTTATCTTTTTTAAATACTAAAGAAGACTGCCTGAATATATGCACATAGCTTTGCGAAGGAGCATATGCCTTCTTTGGCTAAATCAGGAAAGGTGCAGCCTGGTTGCTCAACTTTAATCTTACTAACTTAACATCCTTCAACTATTCCTTTTTTACTAATATAAAAACGTTATATATTCTGAATCACATGGAAATGGGAGTTTTTTCCTTTTTCCCAGTCTCCCTATTCTGAATGATACAGGAATGAAAGTTTTTTTCCCTATTTTACACAAAATCTTTCCCAAGCAAATTGTGTGGGAGATAAGTTAAAATAGAGTTTAATTTAATATGTAAGTAACTTATAATGATGAGATTTTTGAATATATTTTAATAAAATTATTATTATGATTAAATTATTATAATAAATTTAATATATTTAAATTTTTATTTAATATATTTTTTTAAAATTATATAATGAACATAAAACAGCACATCAGTAGAACAATACCAACAAAAATTAAAGAAATCATACTGAATACGTCAAAACTTCTTCAACTTACGTTTCTTGTAAATAATTTCTTACTGCAAACAAACTTAACTTATTCACACTGCATATTGCGATCGCTGGAAATGGAATCTGCCAAATTGGATAGTTTTGCGATTCTAGCTCTGTTACTGTAGGGTCGTGTAGAAAATTTAAAAGAGTTACTAGCACTACATATGTAGCAAATCCGATTCCCATTAATATAAATAGAAACCAGAATAAACTAGAAACATACATATGTATTAATAAAAACACTAATAAGAGAAATTATTTAATTGTTTTCCTTACCGCTGATATTTACGACGTCTTATATAATACAACAAACCAAATCCGTTAAGACTAGTCTTTTGAAAAAATTCTACTGAAGTTTCTTTAACAGCAGTAAATATTATAAATTTTATTTCTTTCATTTTTTTAACTTATTTTCACTTAATTTTACTCACTTCGACAGCATTGAACCAAATGGCACTACACTACATCGTATTTGAGGTGTTAATCAAAATTTCGTTAAATAAAAGGATGATTGGAAAGGACGATTAGAAAATAAAACACGAAAAAGGTGTTAATGATATCATATCTATAGTACATCTTAAAAAAAGAAACAAAATAAATTATAGTATAATGAAATTGTGTAATTGATTTATAGATAATGATTATTTTTTCAAAATTAAACTAAAGACGAGGGACAAGTATAACATAAATATAATATTGAAAACTGTATGAAGTATTCGATAAATAATTCTAATTACTAAAACGTATTTTCTGTGTAATAAAAAATGAAATAACTACTTTATAGTTTAAATCCAGAGAAGTATTATAGTCAAAGGGCAATTCAAAACATTAATCAAGCCCAGGGTTGGTAGGTTTAATTATAATTGAAATTTAAATCAATTTTAATTTGTTCATGTTATTAGATCTTGATTTCGCGGGTATACAGATCTTGTAGAATGTCTTCATTATTATTTATCCATTGAGAACTGACTGAATTAAGCTATTATTATTATCTATACATTATTCTATTATTATTAATGACTTTGATATAAATAATCACTTTATTACGAAAGAGTTAATTGTACTCCAGACGGAGTGAGTTCACGTTCATTAACTGCTCAACCTTTTTAGGTTGTTGCTATTGCTGTTAGGTTGTTGCGTGAGTCCACGTTCATTAACTGCTCAACTTTTTTAGGTTGTTGCTGTTATACATGTACTTATAAGAAGCTAACTTTCTTATACTAAAAAAGTTAAAAAAACCTTTCTTAAGTTTTCACTCATAAAATTTAGTTTTTTTATTTTTGCTTACTCGTTTTATAGCGGATTTATTGCAGGAATTGTTTAAATTGCTTCTCGTTATCCTCAGAAATAACGGCTGTAGCTACTCTAGGAGCAAAAATGCAGTGTGAATGCACACTTAAGATGAATATTAAGATTTCTTAATATGAAAAGTCTTAAGTTTATAGCGTAAAAACCATATTATAGCATGCTTCGATCAAACACGCTCATTAAATATAATTGTAGTCGAAACTATCGACATATCTATTGACACATATAATTTTAAATATATAATAGTTAAAGAAAAATAAAAAAAGTAAATATTTTTGTAACATAATCAGTAAAAATTAAACACGCATATATTTGTATATAATCTTGTTGCTGTTTGCTATTGCTTTCCAAGTTAACTTTATTTTTAGCAGAATCTCTTATTGTATTAAATTTAATAACTTTGGAGTACATTTATAAAATTTTAAAATATATTAATTTAAGTACATTAAATGAATTTTTGCTATTATTAAACATGCATTGAATTTATATTTTTCCAATAGTTTGTCAACAGTAATAATTATTTATATACTGCATATACTGCTAGATTTTTTCAAATAAATTTTCTGCTTGCGATGCTATTGTGTTATAAATATCTATGTGGTTTTTAAGTTATGAAATTATATGTATGTATATGCTATATACCGGTGTTAACTCACGTATAGTTAGTTACAATTTGTATATTTAATCATTTTTCAATTTTTAATGGAATGGTACAAATAATATTATCAGCTTGAACTAAACATAAAATGGAATTTATCTTAGATTAGTAATTTGAAGTTGATGTATATTTTAATATATGTAGATACAGAACACTGTATGTATGTGTGTTTTTATGTTTTGCTACATAATATTTGCATACTACGTGATGATGAGACTTAATATTTAACTATCTCAATTATCAGTTAAGTAAATGTTGCTAAATAGAATTAATTTTGCTCTATATATAAAAAAATAAAAGAGATTTGTTTTTTTTTTAATAATAGGAATGTGGTCACATTTACATAATGAACTTCGAACTTCGACAATATTTTGTATATATAATATATAAAAACAGAAAAAAAAAATTTAACTAAAATACATTAAATATTAGAGAGAAGACAATACAATATAGTTGCTAATAATACAAAATGTTATTTTAATACAATATAAAATAATTAATTTATCTTTTTAAAAATTGAAAAAGGTATATTTAATTTGTCTTTTGTTGCTTTTTGCTGTTGTATAATTGCATTAAAAATTTTAATTGTATATGTTTATAAATTTTAACAGTTAAATTCTTTAAATATTAAAAATATAATTATGATAATTACTTTTAGTTATTGTTAATCATTTCGTTTTAAGTAAAGTGTTTTAAGTAAAAATGTTAAGTGTTTTTAACTTTGCGTTTTAATTTATCTTGCGCATTCGCCATCTCACTAACAAACGCCATTTATAAATGTAGTACACCATCTTTGGTTTCCGTTGCTACTACTGTAGATGCAATCGATGAAGTTTGTTGGTGATGTGGATGTGTTGTATGATCATCAAGTGTGACACCGGTTAAATCAACTATTTCATCCTGATCATCTTGTTCGACTTCATCGGATGTATTTGTATGATTGGTGTGGTGTGAGCCACTCGATAATTGACTTGTACGTGAAAAAGAACCACGACGCGGTGAAGTTAAATTACGTTGATTGGCCGGTTTAACTGTTATAATTAAATTGGAACTATTCGCTACCATCATATCAGTTACCTTTAATGACAAAAATTATTTTATCGAAATATTAACTTAATTTTTAATTAATAATAAATTTTTAATATTTACATTAGCGCAATAGGTCACATGTGATATTATGTATCATTGTCCCACTAATAATAACATATTATTTACCTGATCTAAGGTTTTACCAGCTACTTCAATGCCATTTACTTCTATGACTTCATCGTTAACAGCTAGCAAGCCCGTGCTTTCAGCCAAACCACCGGGTACTAAACGAGATATAAATATACCTGGTTGTTTTTCCAATCCATTTGCAGTAACACGTACTGAAGTGCCATCTCTACACAATTGAAAGTATCAAATTATAACGTGCAATTCAATTTTTTTTATGTTTTAATAAATATAAATGCAATAAATTCGAAGATTATGTAAATTTTATAATTTTAAATAACATTACCTTATGTAAAATCCTAAAGGCTTATCACTTCCATGTTTTAATAATCGTACTCTACGATGTGTTTCCGGTACAATATCTACATCAATAATAGCAGAAACTTGACGAAAATCATGTGGTACTGAAATAGTGGGTGCTCTCGTTTTTACTGGTGTTTGACCTAAAATGCTGCTTATAATGTTGTTACGTGGTTTCATAGTACCATATCCAGAATATTCAGCATTATCCGCTGTTGCGATAAAAAATAATATAAAAATATATAATATAGTAACTTTTATTACAATTATTTTTTTTCAATTGAAAACGGTGAATAATTGCAAAAAAACACAAAATTTTTATTTAATTATTTGAGTGGCTGTTGGTTTTATTAGTGCTTATAGTTTTTCACTATTATTCATACTCTTCAATTTATCATAATATAATTATATTTATGAAAAACAAATAAATACTAACTTTTTCTTTGCACAATGATACGTAGCAAAGGTTTTGCTGTTTTTAAGGCTCTTAAGTAATTGTCATCGTTATTTATAGGCAATAGATCATTATCAATAGGATCACTATATAAGATTATGAATGGTATATTTGTAAGTCTATGTTGTTGTTCAATTAAGGCAGAAAAGTCTTCAAATGTTTGTAGTTCTTCATGTCGTTTAAAACTGAAGCGTCGAAATTCGGCATCAAACTGAATGAAAAAACAGATGAAATGTGAATATAGAATATAAACTTATATTTATTATATTAAATACATTATTTAAGTTAATTACTTTTTATATTATAAGAATAATATAAAAAAATTGATTATATTTATTTAAAAAACTAAACTATTTTAGCTGGCTAGAACTAATTTAGCAAACGAATTTGTTAAATAGGAAATTTATTGTTATTACGCATATTGAATAACTATATCTATATCCTAATTAACACACTAATTTGATCTATATTCGAAGTGACTACGCTTTTTTCATCTTGACTCAGGCTTGTTTCATTTACCACCAATTCAAACTTTTATCCTTTCCCATCCTGATTTTATCATCCTTCTCATTATTTATCCAAATTTTAAATTTATCCAATTTTATTCTTTTAAAAAAATTATAATTACATTTTTAGAAAATTCTATTTAGAAAATTTATATACAGATTTACGCGTACTACATAATTATTATAAACTCTTAATCACCTTCAAAAATAGTAAGGAAGTAGCAAAGCTATTAACATACATTAATATTAAAATAAATTTACACAAATAAAAATCTTTAATAAACTGAGATAGGAACGGGTGGCAACATACATACATACATGCAGATATACTACATTTTGTATGAATAATGTAAACGCCTGTTGCATCTTGAGATGTTAAAATTAAATGGGGGTGGAGTAAAAGGCGCAACAGTGTATTTTACGTAAAACTTTGCATATTTATAATGATTTTGTAAATTTTTTTTTCAAGAATTTATTATTTTTATTCAGATGCGTAGTGTTCGATGAAGCGAATTGCTATGATTCATTGCGTACGCAGGAATTGCCGCAACATTAAAATTTTTTTTCTAGGCCACTCTTTGGAACACTGTATACATATTTTATATTGAGTAGATCAGTTATGTTAAGTAACATATAAATAAAAACTAATTTCTAATTATCTTTTTTAAGAACCAATTTATAGAGTGATTACTATTTTAATATACATATGTACTTATTTTTTTAAAAAATTTTTAATATTTTTCTTTTCTAGTTCTGCTCACCTTTGATTTCACTGCAATTAAATTTGATTCAGCACTCGCTGCCAAGTTTATTTTTGTTTTCGACATACTTCAATACATTAATTGTATATGTAATTTGTTACACTTATTTATTACAATAAATTTTTTAAAGAAAAATTAAAACTTTAAAATTAAACAAAAATTAAAATGAAAAACACTTAAATAATTTAACAAAAAAACATCACATGCACACACACAACACAACGTTGTTCTACCAGTGTAACCACACCGTGTGGATAACACAAAATTAAAATAATATTTACACAGAAAATATTCAATGCAAAAAATAGGAATATTAATGTTTATAAAATATAATTTTTTAACTTTAATGTGATATAAAACGTAAAAGTTGTTTATAAATTTTAATTAACGTTGAAGAGTTCACAAACACACTTAATGATATTTTGTTAAGAAATTATATCTATTTGATATTTTTTGGCGTATATTGAAATTATAGAAAAACTTCTTATTAGAATAGATAATGGATGATGATTCCCGGCATATACTGAGAATGTTAATGTGCTGGGACGCTTATATGTAGTATATGGAGGAAACTTCTTATTAGAATGCATAATGGATGATGATTCCCGTCATGCACTGAGAATGTGAATATGCTGGAACGCTTATGTGATGTATATGGAGGAAGTTCACAGCATCAAAGTTTATATAAGTTGAAAAGCTGAAAAAAAGTGTAAGTATATAATTAGGGTTGTGTCAGTTGCAACTGCTATTGATATAGCGTTATATATAGATTCCATAGTAGACTAAACTTTTCGATTGATGGCGAAAACTATAGTCGTATAATGAATAATTAAAAAATTATTTAAGTCAATTAAGTTAGGTTATACTTATTTCTAGTTAATATGAAAAGTTAAAATTGTAATTTTGTATAACCTGTGTATAATAAAGAATACTAACACTAGTTGACTTAATTTACATTCCCGATAAATTAATCGCTTTTTCTTATAGAAGTATGTGAGACAAGAAAGTCAAAAGGCAGTAATAAATTCTTCATTGCATAAATGATAGAATTTAATTAATTTAAGTATAAAGCATGATATAGGCGATGCTATAGTACTTGTAAGCAGACCAAGCATGCGTGCTACCAAATCGCATTTAGTATGATTGCACACCAAATATCGGTAAAACCAAAGTTTTTCAATTATTTGTTGTCTGCCCACAAGTCTGTTTGTATATATCGAAGCATGCTTGATGTGCGGATATGTAGCATTGAGCTGTGCAGACTAAATTTCTTAATTTATCAGTTTAAATTTATTTATTTGTTATACCAGTTCAGTAAATTAATTCATTCAGTTTAATTTTAAATAATTGATACAATTTTATAATACGTGATATTTGCTAATTGCTTTTTCTCTTGTTTCGCTATAATATAATAGCACCTTACCAACACTAGTACGTGTTATAAATGTCACCACACAGAAAATGTCAAAATCTCGCTGCTTCTTTCATCGTTTGTATACGGACGGCATTAAAATCATTTTGTGGTTGAATACTATTCGAGTTTTATATATAATAAGATGGATCTAAGGCCAAATCAAACGATTTATATTAATAATTTAAATGAAAAAGTTAAAAAAGAGGAACTCAAAAAATCTCTTTATGCTATATTTTCACAATTTGGACAAATACTGGATATTGTCGCTTTGAAGACACTGAAGATGCGTGGTCAGGCTTTTGTAATATTTAAAGAAATATCAAGCGCTTCAAACGCATTGCGTACAATGCAAGGCTTTCCATTTTATGATAAACCAATGCGTATAGCATATGCCAAAACTGATTCAGATGTAGTAGCGAAGATTAAGGGTACCTTTAAGGAAAGACCAAAGAAGATCAAACCTCCGAAACCGGCACCAAATGCTGAAGAGAAAAAGTATATCTTCTATTATACATTTCATTTATACTTTTTAATTAATATATTTTTTAACAGAGACAAAAAGAAAAAAGCTTCAAATGCTGAAAATGCAAATCCTAATGCACAAACAGAACAACCCCCGAATCAAATTCTTTTCCTTACAAATCTGCCAGAGGAAACAAATGAGATGATGTTATCCATGTTGTTTAATCAGTTTCCTGGTTTTAAGGAGGTACGTTTGGTACCCAATCGACATGATATTGCTTTTGTAGAGTTTTCCACTGAATTGCAAAGTAACGCTGCAAAAGAAGCACTACAAGGATTTAAAATAACACCATCGCATGCAATGAAAATCACATTTGCTAAAAAATAGTTAAATTTACGTGTAGTTTTTACAGTAATAAATATTGTATTATAAATTTTACTATTACATACAAGATCTATAAATTAAATTTAAATATTCGAAAAGTAAAACAATTATGAAATTATTGCAATCCTTTACAAAGTGTCACAAACATATAAGTGTGTTTGTTGTCCACAATGGCAAGGTTAAACGACAGTTGATTGACTTTAAAGTAGCTGTGCGATTTCCTGCACTAAAAATTTTACTATGACACAACAGTATCTTTTTCGAGACAATAATTGCATCATAACGTTTTTAAATGGTTCGTACTTTATTTGTGATGATTTTGTTATTCTTATAACTCTTTGCTTTGCTATATAATTGAAATTTCAACAATAAACTGGCATAGATATTAATTCATTAAATGAATATAAATAAACGATTTCTATCAGACAAGCGCAATCGTTGTTTATCGTAATATTAAAATTTGTTAAAGGAATATTATAAAACCTAAATCTAAAACTATATATATTAGACATTTTAGACTGAGATCTGCACCTATGTTAGTAGTAATATTTTAAGTAGATACTAATAATGCAGCAATGCATTAGAAAGTTCTTATTGGAAGTTAGATGTTCCCATATTTCATAGAACCAAGTTTCGAAAAGATGATTAATTTTTACTGTTGCATCATATAACTCATAGTTCTGCATTATCGTATTCTAATACATATTTTGGGTAATCATTTTTTGAAATTCAAGAGAGTTTCATTAGTAAGTAACCAAATTTTCTGTAACCTCATACGTTATATGTCATAATCCTTCAAAAAATAAAACAAAATAGTTACTATTGATGTGTATGGAAAAATTTTGTTTGATTGTTTATTAAATTTGAAATTGAGATTTTTTGAGAATTCATGTATATTGATTTGAATAAACCGCGAAAAATGTTGACTTCTGAATTTAGCAAAATTTTGTGCGCATCCTTTTTCCGTGTCGTATACATCAACCTAGAACCGGGTTGGTTCGTACCATACGTATTTACCTATATATTTGTTCAGTTCGTCTGTGTTTCCGCTTGTTGAAAAATCAATTATTCGACGATGTTTCATAAAAATAAATGTTGGCAAGGTCGTGACATTAAAGTCCGTTGCTATATCTCGGGACTGATCAACATTTATTTTAAGTATAGCAGCTTGTATTGCATAGTTATTAGCCAATTCATTTACTTTGGGACTAATAATGGAACAAAGACCACACCAGTTTGCATAGAAGGCAAGCACCACCAATTTGTCTCCCGCTTCTATCAACTTTTGCTGCAAATCAAATTTGTCCTTTACAATGTATGCCATCCTGGAAGTATATTTAATTTTGTGCTATTGTAAATTTTGACTATTGCTGGGGTTATGGATGAGATATTAATAATATAACATTTTGTTATTAATTCAGTTTTTTATATTATTTTTAAAAAAGTTTACCTAAAATTTACTAGACTACTACGTTCTAGTTTCTGTTGCAAAAAGTTTTTCTAACGCCTTTTCAATTTTATCGGTATTGCTGCCAATGACTTCCTCAACTTTTTCATTATTTTTTAAGAATATAAAAGTGGGCATACTGGTTACTTTATACTGTATAGCGATGTCCTCACAATCGTCAACGTCTACCTTTAACATGATCAATCTTTCGGCATATTGAGTTGATAACTCTTCCAGTTTTGGTGTGATCTTTTTGCATGGTCCACACCATTCAGCGAAAAACTCGACCATTACAATTTTATTGCCAGCACTTGCAAGTGCTTTATCAAATAATTCTTTGCTATTGATGGACATAATTTTTTCGGTAGACTCCTCAGTAGTAGCGGTGGCATTTTTTGATGTTGAAGCAGCTTCAGTTTCCTTCTTTTGGGCGTCTGCTTTTGCCGCTGCTGCGGCTGCTGTTTCTGGTTTTGGTGGTGGTTCATTTTTCTTTGTTTTACCCGCTTCTTTTGCTGGTGTTTCCTTTGGAGCTGCTTCTTTTGGGGGCGAATCCTTACCTTTTGTTTTTTTAGACGACATTATCTAAAGGACAAGAAAAATGGTTTAAAAATGACTATGAAATCGGCCCTAAATGGCTTAGAAACACGTTAATTCGAAGTTATTGGATAAATACATACATATAAAGAATTTTGCGCACAAAATTTTGTGGAGATCTGAATGAAAAACTGATTTTGAAAAAAAATAATTCAAAAATAAAATAACCGATATATATTTTGACACATAATTATATGTATACAAATATTTTAAATCATTTTTAAAAATATAAAATGAATTTACTCTAATATGAAAGTTAAAACATGATATATGAAATTGTACGTAAATATACCATTGAGGGATATAGCAACCTGTATTCTCATTTTGAGTCCGTTTTAACAAATGAGTTAACTGTTGGTTTAACGAATGTTTTTCTCAATATATTCCAATGAAAAAATAAAAAACAACTGTTAATTGTTATAACAATTGTAATTTGACTCAAAAATACATTTTAAATGAGATGAAATAATTGGTAAACTTTATTTCTTTATGTTTCATCGTACTGTTAACGTCTATAAGGAATTGACATAATTATAAGTTTCTGTGTTTTAGCAAAGTGCAATTTATTTAATTTCATATTGATATAAAAATTAATTATTCATAATGGTATACACAATTAGTAGCGATTCTGACTTTGAAAAAAAACTAATCGAAGCCGGTAGCAAATTGGTGCTCGTGGACTTTTACGCAAAATGGTGTGTTCCTTGTATGAACATTTCTCCTTCCATAACTACACTCTCGAGGAGATATAGTAAAAATGTAGTTGTTTTGAAAGTTGATGTGGATAAGCTGACCAATCTTACCACATACTATAAAATAGTGAGCATGCCGACATTTATATATATAAAAAATAAACGCGTTGTTGGAAAAGTGATTGGAGCGGATTTCAAAGGAATCGAAAACAAATTAATAAAGTTGGTAAAGCAAACTTAAATTCAAACTGATGTATGGAATATATATTTTATTATTTATTGTAATTTAAAGACATTAAAAAAAAAACGCATCTGTGATGTGCATTAAATTTGAACTTTGTATTTTATTTTTAAAAATGTATTTTATTATAATTTTGTAAACGTAAAATAAATATGTGTATGACAAGATATTAAAATCCTCTTCTTTTTTTTTTAATCGATTTTTTAAATAATATACGCCGAGAATGTTGGTTAATCGTTTCAGTTCATATACTTATGTGTTATTATATTATTCAGCTCATCTAATGTTTTATTATTATATTTATATAATACAACATAATTTAAAAAACAAAATATAAAGAATTTTGTACCGCGCTTTACAACAACAATGAGCATCCACAATATCATCCATAGATCCACAAAATTCAAACAGCTAAAGTTTTGACGTCGCCTTGAAATTGTTGTATGTTTTCACAAATAAACCAGATCCAGTTACTAAAGGTTATTGCCATTAGCATTAAGTTCAGTTATATAAATTACTAACCGTAGGTTAAGAGATTATGTCGTTTTTAAAATACTCAATTTTGCCCAGCAATAACCGCTATTTCAAATATTAAACTCAAAACTTAATGCAGGAAAAAACCATCCAGTGTCTTTTGCTAAATTCTAGTGTGAAAACGTATAGATCTATTCGAATTTAATTTTATATACGTTTTTGTTTGTATTGTTAAAATTTATTTTATTACGTGTTCATATTAAAAAAAAAATAGTAAGGAGAAATGATAAAATTTGTCGAAAGCACTAAAGATTTTAATATAAAAATAAATGAAGCCGGTTCCAAATTGATACTCGTTTATTTTTACTCAGAAATGTGCATACGTTCCTTATATTTAGGAATCACTCTACGTTCATTCGCCATTAAATACGATAATAACATCATTGTGTTTATAGTAAATGTCAGTAAGTTGGTCAATCTTTCCAAATACTTTAAAATAAAAAGCACACCGACAATTGTATATATAAGGAATAAACGCATGGTTGGAAAATTGGAACGGAAGGATTTGAAAGGAATTGGGAGAAATACAATGATGTTGGCAAATAAACCCATTTCAAAATTAAAGTGAAATAAATATGTTGTATTATTACGATTTATTAAGATTTAATTATTGAAATTAAAGTAAAGTAAATATGTTGTATTATTAAGATTTATTAAAAAGAAATTGGTATATATTGTCTTGAGATTGTATTATTATAATATGTAAATGTAAAATAAATATGCTTGTTTGTAAAAACAACAAAAGTTTTTTTTTATAATATACTACATATAATACATACTACATATATACATATGTATATATATATCAAACATACAATATATAATTTCTTTTTAAATACTGCTCACATAGACCTTCTTATTATATTCTCTTAGACATTGCGATTTTAAAAGTAAATGATGAATAATTAAATCAATTACATATATAAACTACACTGTAAATTACCAAATACTGTTTGGTTAAAAATAATGGCGATTTCAAGATACTCAATTTAACCGTTTATTCAAATAATAAACTCAGTACTCACCGTTGAAAAATAAACTAGTTTCTTTTTCTTAATGCTTGTGTTCAAACGTATGCATTTCATAAGATTTTTTATATAATATATGTTCAATTATTTTTGTTGGGTAAAGTAACATAAAGTAAAACATAAAGTAACAATGGTACACAATATCGAAGGCGCTGTTGATTATAATAAACAATTAAATGAAGCTGGTTCTAAATTGATACTCTTGCAGTTTTACTCAACCATATGCAGCCGTTGCTTATACTTGTCATCCTCGATAGATGAGCTCTCAAAGAAATATAATGAAAATCTAGTTGTGTTATTAATTAATGTAGATACTTTGGACAATCTTTCCAGACACTTTAAAATAAAGGCTACGCCCACATTTCTATATATAAGAAATAAGCGAATGGTTGGAAAATTGGTACGAGCGGATTTGAATGAAATCGAAGCTAATATAATGAAGTTATTAAATCAACCTGATGTATAAACTAAAGTGGAAAAAATTTATTGTTTTCTTTGCAAATTTTTTTTATTATAATATTTTAAATGTAAAATAAATGTATGTCGAATAAAACAAAAACAATTTTATATTTTTTACTAAATGGTACATCAAATACAACACATATATTAGAAAATAAAGATAGATAGTGGGTTTCTCTAATTTCACAGATGCAGACGATCAAATCATCATCATATGTGGTGTTGCTTTTAACTTTTATATTCACGCCCAGTGTTAACATACATTTCGTTTGTTAAATATATATAAAATTCCATAGTAAACCAAATTATATATGTTATTACTAAGCTTTACATAAAAATACTACAAATGTAATGATTGACGATTATTTGATCATAGTCTTTACAGTGAGCTGACATAGATAATCTTAAAATATTTGGTAAGACTTTTCAATTTAATTACATAAAGCACCCTGTATCATAACTTAAAATTTGATTATTCAAATGATATCACCGTTGCTTTAAAAAATGTCTCCTTCAAAACACTCAACTTTGCTCAATAAATCACTAAAGCCGTTATTTTATACAATATATTAAACTCAAAACTCTACCTTGAAAAAAATCATCCAGTCTCTTTTATGATATACTCTGGTTTAATCGTATCCATTATAACAATTTGAATTATTTTATGTTTATTGATTTTATTTTGTTAATATTTTTTAAATTACATATTATTATAATAAATAAACAGAAATGCTGTACATTGTCCAAAGCTATAACGATTTTAATGAAAAACTAAAAGAAGCTGGTTCCAAGTTAGTAGTTGTCAACTTTTTCGCTAATTGGGACTCGGCTTGCCGACTTATTTCACCATCATTGCGTGTGCTCGCGAATACATATGGCAAAGATGCAGTTCTTTTAAAGATCAATGTAGATCGGCTGACTGATCTTTGCACATTCTACGACGTAACTATGGTTCCGACTTATATATTTTTAAAAAATAAATGCAATATTGACACTGCTGTAGGACCTAGTTTAAAGGAACTCGAAGCATTGATAAAGAAAATGGTATGCCAACCTTAGCTTCATTGGATAATAGATAATATAATTTGATTATTTGAAAATACTAAATATTGTAATGCATATAATATGCAAATTTAATCTTATGTAACTTTGTTTTATGTTAAATGTTTTGTGAATGTACGTTTTTCTTTGTGCTAAAATTTTGTAAAAATAACAATAATGTTAAAGAACTAAATAAATATTTAATGAATCTAAAAAATTGCATGTTAATTTTATTACGAAGATGTGAATGCAAATAAATACCGACTCATTGGCTTACAATTTGAAAACATAACTTTACTAATGAATTGACCATGATTCAAGCCCTGAAATAATTAGTAGTGTAATATTGAACTATAACGGTCTATGACAAAAATATATAAGTTATCAATAGCTTCGGTACGCTAATAGAAAGACAAATATTCGAAAACAGTATGAGTATAAATGTGCTGATAGTCAAGATATTATGTTTCATAATAGGAAAATCTGCTTACTTTTTACACTTTACAACTATTACAGATTTCTGTCGACAGAACATAAAGATATTCCAAACAAGAACAGATATTTTCAAATGTAACCTTGTATGCAGTTGGACAAAAATATATATAAACCTAAGGGATAATAAACCTTAGAGTTAAGATATACATTATATTTGTGACCGGCAATAACAAAGGTTATACTTTTAACAAGTAGTAAGTAATCATTTGATAAAGAAATTTGTAGTTGTATATTTGGATAGTTTGTTTTTAGTGCAGACATTTATTTTTTAATTATAAATTATATAAAAATACGTTTTTTTGAGTTATTTGATTGTTATTTTTTAACTTAAACTATTTCTGCATATTTAAATAAAGTTGATTTTTCCATCCTGTGGGTCAAACACTTTAGAAGAAATGAATGTTGACTTCCCTAAACCTGTTAAGAAAAATTAAATTATTATAAATTATTAATTTCTTGATATGAACTTACTGAATTGTCGTAGCCAAAAGCTTCATTTTATTATACGAATGAGAGTGGAGACATTATGAAATTTCAAAACTAACTTATAATTGTATTTAAAATTATGACAACTTCATCTAGAACTTTTTTGTCTACGGACGTGAGATCATGACTCCAAATTAACTCACTTGGACATTGTTTAAGTTTTGAATTCTTAATAATGTAACGTAATGCTGCTTCTGCGCTTTCATCAAATCTACCAAAGCATCGTGTTAGACTGACACCTGCCGACACACTTAAGCTGAATTCATTATTTCGCGTCTCATCAAGTTCATCAAACTTTACATTGACCATATTTTTCATATCACCGGTCTGAGTTATCATAATAAACCATTTATTTGCAAATTTTTGAAAAACAAATTCAGTTGGTACGCCGGAAATAGTATAACAACTTTGATTTGTAAAAGCACTAGCTATGCCAACCATTATTGATCAATAAAATTCCAATATATATTATGTATTTAATATATTTGATAATTTACAAAATTTTGCAATGAAACAATTCCTAAAATTGAAAGCTAATATGTCATACTTGATATGAAATATTTGACATAATAGCGCAAATAAAATTGCCATATTAAAACTTTAAGTCAAATCAAAAAATTAATTTATGTACTTTTGCGTAATTAAGAATAAATTTATAATTCTGTATTTATTGATAACAAGTTGTGTACATATAATTTATATTGGAATAAATGTTAATATTGCTTCAAAAACTTACGTTCATATGAAACTTCAGTGTATAGGAATTGGCCATATAAAATTATATTTTATGCGTATACTTTGACATTTTATATACATTTTCATTTGTACTGTACAGTAGCGTATAGAAAAATTTTTTGCAACTGTACATTCATTCTTGTAAAACGAGAGAACAAACAAACTTAAGCGTTAGTATTTTTTAGTTAAAATCGGGCGTGAAAAGCATTTTCTAAGGTACTTAGTTACTATTTTTACAAAATAAAAGAAATATGTATATGAATTTCGTAATTGCATGTTAGTGTGATAATATTTGTTAACAATTATATTCATTTAAGTGTTCGTTTGTTTGTTTGGTTTTTTATATACGAAAAGAGTAACAAAAGTTTGACATTTAAATGTCAAAACAAACAATTTCACTTTACGCATTTGGCTCGTAGAAAAGTTGAGGTTTTTTGATTGTTTTTAATATATCCCATACTTTTTAAGTTTTTTGAAATAATGGCTGACAGTCAAACTTACGAAATAGACGAAGCCGAAGTATGTGTATTTTTAATTATGAAATCAATTGAAAAAAATCGTTTCTTTAAATTTCTTTAAAGGAGGAGGCTTTATTGAAATCAGATGAAGAAATAGACACGACGCCTCGTAAATTGAATAACTTAAAAGGTAACGTAACAGCTATGGATGATGAAGATTCCCTAATTGCTGAGGCTCGCCAAATGGCCGATGAATATTTAGAGAATAATAAATCTAGTATAGACATTGAACCTTCTGATGGAGATAGTGAAAGTGATTGTGACGACTACACCAAAAATTATGAAGAGTACACAGCCATAATAAAGGAGATAGAAGTAAATAAGTATTTGTATGATAAATATGTGCGTTTGTGCAGTTTATCGCAGTAAGTAAAATAATAATAATAAAACTCAAGAAGATTATTAAATTGGCTCTATAATAGTGATTTAAGTGACCTGACCATCATACGTGAATCATATAACAAGTTTGCAGAGGTGTACCCATTATCTGCTGAATTGTGGCTTAAATATATTAAAGTGGAAGTAATATTAGCACAATCAGAATCTGAAATAAAGAAAGTCGAGGAACTCTTTCGCAAAGCGCTATCAGATTATTATTGTATGACATTTTCTTATAGTTAGAAAAATAAATAAAACTATGGTTATTTTTATGTATTTAAAGCGGTGTCAGTTGCATTAGAATTTGGAAAATTCGCAAGCCGTTGTGATAATGCTGAAAGCATATGGTGCGAAATACTTGGCAGCTATGGCTTACACACTATGCAGGGTCGAGAAGTTTTTCAAATGTATCGAAGGTACATTTTAGGAGTTGATAATAAAACGTAAATATAGCTTTTGAATAGTTTTCAATAAACAATGTTTATTGAAATGATTGATAAATAATTTTAATTTGATGTTATATTTTAGCGAGGAACAGAAACAAGCTGCATTTATTGAAAGTTACTTACAGGAACTTAAATATCCATTGTATAATATGGCTGAAAGTTATATTGAATTTAAAGTTTTTTTTGAAAAAAATAAAAAAGAATTGACAAATAAAATTAATTGGGCAAAAGTTGATGAAAACTACTTTAAAGCTAAGGATCACATGGAAAAGGTTCTGCCTTTTGAAGAACAACTAGTTAGTCTTGATGAAAAATGTTATCAAGACCGAGCAGCACTTTACATAAGTTACATTAAGGAATCAGATAAATTTCTGAATGAAAATTCATTGCAAATAATTTATGAGCGCATGGTGGCTGATTGCTGCTTGAATCCAGAGTGTTGGTTATTGTATATTGATTTTATTGATTTTCGAGATGAATTTGAACGTCCAAGAGAATTGTATGATTTTCCGATTTTTATGCAGACAGCAACATATATAAGCAGCCGAGCTTTGCGTAATTGCACGTGGTCAGAAAAACTTTACATTAATCGTATGAATTTATTCGAAAAACATGGAAAGCCAAGAGAAGATGTGCAAACTGTTTTGGAAAGTGCAATGTCGGTTGGTTTTCAAACACCAGAACCTGCAGTTGCCATCTGGTTAGAATATTTAACATACTTGAGAAGAAATGTGGATTGGCAATGTGAAAATGATGTAAGAAAGAAACATAAATACAGTGACCAGTTATGGCATATCAAAAAAGATAGTTAAATAGATTTAGTTTAATTGCACTTTCTTGTTTTAGTGTGAAATACTGCGCAAAAATTTTGGTATGGCTTGGTCTGTTTTGGGTCAACAATGGAGTGTACTTGCTGACTGTGACTGTGAGATCTTGCAGTTTTGGGGTAGATTAGAATATGGTCCTTTAGGTGATTATAAACGTGGAAAAGAATTATGGACTACAGTAATGGGTATGTATGCCTATAGACTTTTCAAATACTTTGTCACTAAACATATTTTGTATATATTTAGATAGTTCAGATAATGCTCTAAAGTCCGGCCTCTGGATTGAATTTGCACAGTTAGAATCCAAGCGAAATTTATTATCAACTCGAGAGTAATGTCATTATAATAATTTATAAATTTTGAGTAAGCATTAATTATTATAATTTTAGATTATACCGTAAGGCTTTAAATGTTCATGGAATAGATAATCCTTATGTAATTGCTTCCGCATGGCAACGATTCGAACGTTGCAATGGTACAATAAAATCAGTTGCTCATTGTATGAAAGAGTGTTCAGAACTTTTGGCTACTACTGTTCTGGCTCAATCACAGGTAATAGAAAATAATACACATACTAAAATAAAAAAGATTACTAGTAAGCAAGCAACAAAGAGGAAATCTGATTCCACATCAAAAACGGACAGTAATTTAATGGAGAAAAAAAAGAAAACAAGAGAAACTAGTCAAGAAGATCAGAGAACAAAAGTTGCACAAAATGAACGTCATGATATTATATTTAAAGAGCATGAAGATCAGGAAATCGACTTGAGTAAGGATCACTTGCGCATATTTTTAAGTAATTTGGATTACAGGTTAGTAGTATAACAAGATTCTATATCATTTTTCGGTAAATTAGTAGTAAGAATGTGCAATATTATCTATGATTTTATTATTAGCTTGACACGTGAAGATATTCTAACAGGTTTTCCAGGCTTAAAAATTGTTAACGTTAATTTAATAACTTCAGCAAATGGTAAAAGTCGTGGTTTCGCTTATTTGGAGCTTGAAGACGAAGTAGGTTTTTATTTCTATTTAATAATTATACTGAAGTATTAACTTCTATTTACTTTTTAAGCTGGAGGTTGAGAAAGCTTTAGCTATGGACAGACTTAATTTGAATGGTCGGCCAGTGTTTGTTTCTAGTGTTTTACGTGATAAAGAAAAACGTCAAAAATTCAAATATTCTGGTAAATTTATTGTACAATTTTATTAATATAATATAATGTCTGTTCATTTTTGGGAGTTGTTATTTAAGTTAGCTATGATACATACATTAAGCAAATTAGTTTTAATGCAATTAATATTAACATAATTAAATGCAGACAATACAACTTAACTTCTTGAAATTTTAACTTTTAACTGTAATAATAGAAAAAAATTTTCAATATAGATGGTCTGGAACCCAATAAATTGTTTATTAAAGGTTTGCCTCATGACACTAATAAAGAGGAGCTTGAACAAATTTTCGGTGTTTATGGTAAAATAAAAGCTATACGTTTAGTACATCATAAGTAAGTTAATTAATCTGACATTAAAGTATCAATTTCTAAAAATTGTTTGTATTAATAGAAGTGGCAAATTTAAGAATATTGCCTATGTGGAGTACGAAGACGATCAAGGGGTAAAGAAAGCAGTTTTAACTGAAGACCAAAAAGAACTACGTGGTTGCGTTGTAAGTAATACTTATAAAATTACATATAGATATATAATATATAATATATTATTATAATACGCAGATGACAGTAGCTATATCAGCTCCTCCTCCAAAGTCTAGCACTTCCGTACTTCCTGTTAGTAAACTATTAGGTGTTACTGCCAAGCGTAATAAGACCACGGAACAAAAACCTCGAATGTCACTTATACCGAATGTGGTGCGAAAGAATCTAAATGTTGCATCGCAAACAACTAAAGAAGCTACGAATGGTGCAACAATTTCCAAAACAAATGAAGATTTTCGCAAACTATTAAATAAGTAAATTCTTTAAAGTTTGAAATGCAATTTAAAAAAAATCCTCTTAACTTTTTTTGAAATAAAAAACCGTACAAATGAAATTATAAAATTCTATAAACTTTTAAAGTTAAAAAACAAAAAATTAATTTTTTAAACTATTTTATTTTCACCACATTCAAATCAGGTATTTATTACACTACTATACATTGTAACAATATAATACCATAAAAATATAGTAAAACGTTGGAATAAAAACAAATGTATTAAAAACAATAAAAGTACTTTCAAGATTTAAATTTAACACTTTTAATAACACCAGTTTTAATGCCAGATATTTCTCCGCCATAACGTTTAGTTTCTTTGCGCACAGTACGTACTGCACCTTTGCGACGAATAAGTGCTTTACGAAATTTGCTACGATGCTTAACGCGTGGATTCCGCAATTCCTTTTTACGATGCGGGGTGAGACCCTTATTTTTAGCCATTTGATAGGTAATACCACGTCGCACATTCATATCATCAATAGCTGCATCTTCTTCACCATCCTCTTCTTCACTCATTGCATCCTCGTCATCAATATCCTTACTGTCTTCATCTTCATCCGTGGCTTCTTCGTATTGATCCAGTATTGATAGTTTTGTCTTTTTCTTCGGTTTTTCCACACCAGTTCTTGTTTTTATTTCTAGAACTTGGAACTTATCACCATCATTTATGCGCTCAAGTAACGCTTCAAGCTGCGGCCTTATTATGTTCTCGTATTTGTCTTTAAGCTCTGTTATCAATTTTTTCAATTTGACTAGGCGTTTAATGACAGGATGGTTTCTAACAGACACACGCTTTGCTTTAAGGGACAAGTAAAATGAGATGTTATAGCAATAAGTAAGCATCATATTTTTATATAAAATCGCAAAATCAAACGCTGGTATCATAGGTACATCGTTTTGTTTTACATACGACATAACTGGGTCTAACAATTCTTTGATTTCATTAATGTAGTCTGAAAAATCGGCTACGAGTCCTGCAAACTCAGGGGAATCTTTTTGAAATAGTTTTAATTGTTCGCTTTTAGGTAAAGTGGAGAAATCCGTTTTTATTTTTGTACTTTTAGTTGTACTTGTAACTGTTTTTGTTTCAACGGTAGGAAAGGCATCTTCTAATAAAAAGTCATCTTCGTTCATTTGTTTTGCTAATCGCATTTGAATAATTTTAGCTTCCTCTTCCTCTTGTTTTGCCAACTCTTCTTCTTGTTCATTGTATGTGCTATAGTCTTGGTCAACGAAGTCTGTGTTGTAGTAGTTACGTGCTTTTTTCCCCCAATCTTTAGAATCTGGTATATCTGCATCATTTTCTGCACCTTCAATGTCGCTGTCTTCCATGAATTCGGCATTATCACTTTGCTCATCATCACTACTGTCGAAAGCTAAGACTTCAGCTTTGGAATTGTCACGATTCTTGCCGCGGCGTACATTTTTCAATATTTCCTTCTCTTCTTCGCTATAATCTTCTTCTGAATCCGTCGGCTCATATTCATCGTAATTCCTATTGTCTAAAAGTATTTTATCATCCATTTTTTATTAAAACTGTTGCGATATTATTAACTTAATAGATTTTCTGTGGACACGTGCAAATATAACAAACTAAATGTCAAAACAAACTTAGTTTGTTTACATTTTTGTAGCTATGTTCATTGTGCAGAACTGAGTTTATGTTTGAATTGAAATTAATAATGTGTACTACGTAGTTTGATGCCTGACGTTGTAGTATAGTCAATTGATTTTGTGTATTACTTGCAATTGTTGATTGCTATGTACTGTCTCCCATTGCACTTCTTAAATGTTGGAATTTATTGTTATAATTTTAAAAATAGAAAATAAAATACTAAAGTATTTTATATATATTTAATGTTCATTAAATTTTTCCATGTAGTTGGTAGTGAAACTGATCATGGGATTTGTATTCATTAATATTAATTATTAATTTATTATAATTAATACCGTCTAATAATAATTCAAAGTTAATAACATGCTTATTCAATTATTATATTTACAAAATTGTAATAAAAAGTTATAACTTTTAACAAATGTTTGGTTTTATTAAAATATGTAAAAACAGTTTTAATTAATAATTGTATGAAAAACATTTCAATAACAATAAATAGAATCATATATAAATATTATTATTATTAAATCATATTTTAGAATTATTTTATTTGTATTTTATTGGTTCGATCATAACAATATTAAAAAATAAAATTGTTCGTAAAAATATTTTTAATATATAGAATACCCTTTCAAGCTGCACCATTAATTGTAATTATTAATATTTATTATAATAAATTGTTTTAAATGAAATTGAAATTTTTGTTACTAATAAAAAAGTAAATTTTATGTTATGTAATTGTTGTAGCAAATTTATTGCCATACTAGATTTATTGAATTAAACAGATCTTAATAATAATAAAAATTCTTTTAGACATATTTTGTTTCTGTTTATATTTCGCATCGAACGAATTACTTTCATTCCACTTTGACGTATGCGCTGCCTGATATTAAATAATTCATATAATTTATGAATTTGAGTAATTCATTACAAATTTTAAGAATATTCATAAAATAAGTTATTTCTATTTTCGTATTATCAATTTTACACTAACTAAACTAAAAATTATATTTTAAAACATAATATAGATATAATTTTACATTATATTATTAATTTGCAAATGTAAACAAAACAACACTGACCCTTTGTTCCTTATAAGTTCTACGGGAACTACTACAAATAAAACAACAAGGTTTGACGTTGTTACAATAAAAATGGCCAGTTTGAACACATATTTTGGTTATTTGTATTCATTGTATTGCAATAAATGAATTTGCCTTGAAAGGATGTTTATTTATTTGGGTTTATATTAAGCAAGGCTTTTGAGTACATTTTTTAAGACTATGAAAAAGTTTTTACGCATAACTTGTGCTGATAATTACAAGCAAGAATTTAAACACAGTTATAAGACTACAGTTATAAATAAATTGTTTAATTATAGCAATTTTTTAAATTTCTATAATTAATTATTTAACCAATTAATTATTAACTCTTAAAACTTAAGCATGTTTTTGACCAGTTCAAAATTTTATCGCAAAAATACTCAGATTGACGTGAGGAAAATATCGTAAGCTACGCTACGTATATAAGTCATATAACGAAATAAATGTTTGCAACACTGATTACTCATTTAACAGCCTAACAACACTATTTGCCGTTGTTGAATAAAGCAAACATGCAGTAGATTCAGTATATTTGTTAACTTGAGTCGAATAAGAATTGTTTTGATTGTGGGGATGCGACTTTTCGGTCATTGATAAACTTGTGTGTTAAATGAAATCAACAGATGATAGAAAACAATTAATTTAAAACAAATTTCAAGCATGTATTAAGAATTTTAAATGTTATTTGAATAAATAGTGAAACAATATAAAATTGTGCAATAGCAAAATAAATGTGTGTTGACATGAAAAATCGCGCCATCATTTTGATGCTCTCTGTACTCTGTTCAAAAAAGAAAATAAAAACAAAGTATTGAACAAGTTTCTTTTACAAATAAATTTTGTATAGCTAAGATGTTAAAAAATATTTACATAATTTAAGATCTACATATGTAGAAGGAGTTTACGAAGTGAGCATATTAAGAAATTTATATATGTACGTGATAAACACGGCGTAGAAGCTAAGAAGGTAAGTTTAATATTTACACATTTTTAATATAATATAATAATGATCGGCATATTTATAATCAATTGAAAATAGTAATTTCCTTTTAATATAAAAGCTTTTTAAATAGTTGTTTATTGTGTATTTTTATCATGCGAAATCCATTTAAAAGCGATTGACCTCAAATCGCGTTATATTTATATAATTTAATATCATTGAATATTTATTTATACTTCTAATTAAAGTCGTTCTTCATAACATAAATAATGCAATTTCCTACTTTTATGTGCACTTGGCTTTCACTGAATGCATGCTGTTCTGTTTGGAGCCAGTCTCCTGTTATGCAGTTGCTGCACATTTTTCAATCAGTGACTGTCTACTCCACTTTTCCCTCCAGTTTCATTTCATTTTTTATTAAAAAAATAGTGTTGTTTTTGTCATTTATTGCATTATCAGCGTTTCTATTCACTGGAATGAGTGTATAGAGCGAGCGGTGTTACCTTTTGTTTACGAGTAAAGCGATAAAAACTTGAAGGCATTGTTTACTTTTACTCTTCGCTTTTTTTTACAATTTTTGCAGTTCAGGAAATGCTATTTTAAGCTTTACTCTGTCCTACAAAGCAAAACTTATTAAAAGCGAAAATAAATCAGGCCATTTTGACGCCTTGCCTTAGATAGGAAAATGCAGTTTTTCTTTCTTTTTTCACATTTTTTTCTTCGCAATTAGTAAGAAAGCATTTTAATTTAGAAATTGTTCCGATAATGCCTTTGAATAATTATATACTACATATACTAGAGATATAATAGTCCATCACTTCCTTTTTCATTGACTTAACTTAAGAACTACGCAATTGGTCAATTTTCTTAAAGGTATCTAATATGTATATATCGGCTCGCAATCGGTAAGATTGGATGTCGATTGTAGTGCTGATAATATATATAAACATATATTAATTTATATAATATAAAGAATATAAATATGATGGTTGACGAGAGCTTATCGATAAATTTGATTTAAGAGCTAGTATTAATCTTACTGTGGAATTTTTAGTATGGATAAATTAAATATAATGATACCTTTAATGACAGTCATTTTGCTCGATTATAGGGAATGGACTTTTACTAATCCCTAGTATAATGTTTAGTGGCTTTTTTAGATTCAATCAATTTCAATTTTGTTTTTCATAAAATTCTATATATAAAATAATCGTCTGCTATATTTAAAATCCCAACAGTTTTGTATATTATTGCATAGACTAAATATTGCATAGGCTAAATTGATAAACTATTTTCATTCTAGGGGATCTCCTGTTATTATATATTATTATATTATTATCAAATATATGAATTAGTTAGTTATAATTAAATATAATTAAATATAGAGTTTAATAATTCTGTATGGGTAGGTAAACATTAAGGGGAAACATTTATTTTTTCTTGAATTCCAATAAACTCTACAAACGTTTGGTGTTATTTTAAAATTCTGCATATAGTTTACAAGTGTATCTAATTACTAACTAGAATTATTCTGCCTACTTGATGACCGATAAACAGTTTTTCATATAACTTGACTAGTGCGTCGCACAATAATATCTGATATATAGATCCATATCTTTTTATTTTAAAGTGAAAAGATTATAAAGATTAGAGCTTTTGGTATTTATCAGATATATTACACTTTAATCTTATTCGAGTTATTAAGAAACGTATGCTGAGTTATTACCAAGTTATTAAGAAATGAAAAATAATATCCTTTTTTTCTGCTACTAGAGAATGTCTTTGTTTTGCCGTATCTCTATATTTGCATAGGAAGTGTTCATTTGTTTCTTTATTACCTTGTCCTTGGTACTTTGTGTTTACAGGTAATGCATAATTTTTTGGAATGGATTAGTCATTGAGCTCACTAGTTACTTATTAAGTTTTGCATAGATCTAAGGAAATGTATTTAATTTTTGAATTTTGTTGAGGTGTAAAAATAGGATTTTCAAAATTTTCAATTAAAATTTATATAAATTTAATTAATTATATATGATTGAGAATATCAACAATGTAGTATGACAAGAAATCTATTTCAAATAGAAAAAATTGGCAATAGTGAAAAAAGTTACAAACTCAAAAGGAATTTCCTTTTTAAGTGAGTACACAACTGTTTCGGATATCGCCAAATATCCATCATTTGTGGTCTTTCGAAAACCAACAATGTACAATATGCTTAAGTTAATTCATATAGCTGTGGTTTATGCGTTTGTTCTAATTAATAGTAGAGCAAGAGTGATGGTTGCTTATAAATAAATAATAAAAATTGATAAAAGTCTAAAATTAAAAATTGCAAATCACGTATACGTTGGTTTTGGGTGTTGTGTATATGAAAATTATATATTATATATATATATATATTATTATATATTAACAATTAAACAACAGATTTGTTCAAAGCCTTTTAATAATAGCTATTTGACTATTTCAAAAACAGTTGTTTGGTCACCCCAAGAGTTTAATTAATTAAATTAATTATATATTTAAATAACTTTAAAATTAGTATGCATCTTATGAGTATATTATAAAAGATAGGTGATATGAAAGAGTTCAAATTCCAGTGGCTTCCAATTGTTAGAATAATATTTAAAACACTGATATTTATACGTAATTAACTACTTGAATTCCATTTAAATTCTAAAGCAGTCACCTGCGGTTTTCAGACACCATATCCTATTCGGAACATTCTCATGGAAGTCGTAAAAAAGTGGAAAGAAATAAATCCTTTCTGAAAGAATCACAGCAAATAAATACATTTTCACATAAGCTTAAATATTAAATGAATTTTTTGTTTTTGTTGTGAAGGAATTTTAATGCAAACAAAGCAAATTTACAATAAGGAAAAAAGCAAATGAAATGGAATTTAGCCGGTTTCCATAACAGACTAAATCGCCCAGACGCAGATCGTATAACAAACGTGTTTGTGTATTAAAGCGAAAACTTTTAAAAATGTTGACTTTTCTAATTTTTAACTTGTTTAACCAAATTCTTCAAACTTGATTTAGCTGAATGTGTGCAAATTATTTTCATTTTGTTTTTATAAGTAATTCTTATAAATCTTTTGAATGTGGAATTGACATAGCAAAATTTTGTTGATTTCATTATGTAGGAGTATATTAACATACCGACCTATTCAAGTTTCTAGTTAGTAGCTTTCTCATAGTAAACTTAATGTCTGATGCTTGAGCTGACATAAGCTCAAGCATCGCTGAAAGCATCCAAAAACCGATTATCCAACTCAAAAACACCGGCCGGCTTCTGGTGTTTAACATACTTGACAAACCATTTCAATTGAAATGGTTAGATTTTTGCTATTATTTAAATTTAAATATATATTCTGTGTAAAAACTGATTTTCAAAATCTTGAATTGATTTTCTTATGCTTTTATCTGTAGAATATTCTAATTAAAAGTATCTTGTTCAAATTATTTCATTCATTGCTCATACGTCATGTTTACTTATTGCCTTCTCTGTTTCAGTAGAAAACATGAAAGATATGTCAATTTATGTGTTTGTAATTAACCTTATGACTTCATCTTTATTAATTTTTTTAGTTACATTTATTTTGTATTTATTTATTTTGTTTCGTGTTTTGTTTTTTACTTGCTTGTCTCTTTTATGTATAAATTTTTTTGCGTTCTTAACAATAAAATTTAGAACCAGAACCGCCAAATTCAAGTCTCAAGATTGGGTTTGGCTGTATCTCGAGGTCAAGTTTAAATTTATTATTGATTATTGTTTTCTTCGAATTATTATTTTTGAATTGCATAAAATTTTAAATTTCGCAAGTAAATTTTATTTTATTGTTTTGGAAAGTTTTTGTGTTCAGATTGTTTTTTATTTGCATATTTAAAAGACCGATTCAACCCACGATATCTGAAAATAGTATGTTTGAAATAAATATATACTTTGTAATAAAGTTTACAGAGTTTTTCGTTATAGATTTGTATTTTATTTAGATTTTTTTTTTAAGTAAAAAAAACCTACTCGGGGCTTGTTCAACATCGTCTAGCATATTAACAATGCAAACTAAAACTTTAAATATTATTTCAGCTGTTCTGTCTTTGTTCACTCGAAAAGTTGCTATGATGTTCGAATACTTGCCATTAGATTAAGTTAGGTTATTGGTCTAACAAGCAATTCACTTAAATCACAAAGTTTCATTTGTAACACTATTTTCCTACCACTGCTGACCGAACCGATTTTATTATAAGACATAGGAAGTGTTTAATCTTAGCGCTAGACACTTCAGTGAGAGGATTTCAATATTCTTAAAAACTCGATCGACTTCTTGTTAGTGCTGGACAGCTACAAAAGAAGTATATCCTTCCTCTTTGTCTCTAAATCGTATGTGGTGTTTATGAAAGGGTACTTCTAATCTGAAAACATGACTTTCTATTAACCAGGGGTAAGCTACGATCTTGAAGATATCCTCTGTTGTGAGGCTGTGTAATTCTCTTAATTCCTTCCTATCTAGTTCTTCTCACATTAGCTTAGACATTAAACAAGTTCTTTCGTATTCCCAGGTGCTCTTCTTGTCTCGGCACTATTCTTTCATAATAATTTACAATATCACCTCTGGGCGTGCACAGGGGAAGGTTAAAAACATGATTACTTATGAGACGTTTTTTCTAGACTAGGAGCAAGCCTACTAAATGGTCAGTCACCGGTTATATACGAACTTATAAATCTTTTCTCTTGGAAGAATGAGCTATTCCTATAAATTTTACCTAACAACATAAAAAATATTCTTTAATAATAATTTACAGCTCTAAGAATGCTTAAATCGACTCTACCGTCAAGACGCTTCCAAGTCTTTATAAAAATTCAGTTTTCTTCTTTTCTATGAAGCAATCATCCAATAAAAACTTGAGTATATTACTTATTATGGAAGTAATAATATATAACATTTATAATAAACTTGTGTTTTATATTTTATTTTGTAAGACAATTTAATCTAATTTTTGTTAGAGTTGTTAGATTCCTTA